TGCAATAGTTCACCCAAAATTTTACATTTTATTATTATTTATGCATTAATTAGATACACTTGTCCCATGTTGTCATTTAACAATATGACTGACTGACAGACAGACAGCTATTTTTTTGTGGTCACAATAAAACCTTCTTGAGGATAAACAAAAAGGTCGAAGGCACAAGACACTTCCAACAGAATGTAAACTGGTGTTAAAAATAACTGCAAACACACACACAGTGTACAGAAAGGGGGATGAGAAACTCAATACGTTGCAAGTGTTCACTTAACCTCCAGTGCCTAGATGTATAGTGGAAAGTACTAGTAGAAACCACATTATACAGAATATAATGGAGGATTTGGGGGATGAAATTCACCACAGGAAAAGGAGTCAATGTCCGATAATGATGTTTCTTTAGCCATTTGCTAACATGCAAATGATCGTTGACGTTATTCCAAATTTAGTGCAAAGCTACATAAACAGACAGCAGCCTCTAATTGCCCTGTGTAATCCCATCATTAGCAGACCCTCTCTTTGATGATCAGTGAACACAAATCCACACCCGTAAGCTGAATTACAGCAGATTTATGTCAAGTGGATCTGCAATAATGACCGTAATCCTCCCTAATACTGTAATAATGAGGACATTACATGAGTAAATCTACCAAATCATTTCTTTATTGGGATTTTTGCCACTTTAATACATAATAAAGTACAGTGTCATACAATCACATACTTTGACCAGAGATTCTCTCATTAAAGTTCTTGTTAAATTGCTTACTGTTTTTGCTAACCGTCCCTCAAAATCTAATCTATCAACCAAACGTTTAACATTTTTCTCTCAAATTTCAGCCAACCAATATGCTGAATCTGCAGTCAAGTTTACCACAGTGACAGAAGGTTTAAATATGCCTTCAGATGAAGAGGAATTGGTTTATGGCCAAACGCCCCTTGTGGAAAAAAGTTTCATGTGAACGGCCGTGTGGTCCTGCAGTCCACATCTGGGTTTTCTGCACATAAAGAGCCAACTACTGCCTTATGTAATGGCAAACATTGCTGTCCTCTGCTGTTCTTCTTTCTCCACGTCTCAAAGCGAGTAAACCCAGCTCTCTCCCTGACTTCACCCCGCTGCCTAGCGTAAATAAACTACAGTCCAAAAAGGGCTCCGCCTGCATCTGAAACTCCCTGAGTCACAGCAGTAGACTCTCATGTTGCTCAGTGCTCACAGTGTGTTGTGCGAGGGTTTATGGCAAGACAGCACAGCACAGGGAGAATTAAGGAATCAACACGGCAACATAATCACTAGGCCTTTAAACGCAAAACCGCATGCTCAACAGAAAACACTCCTCCAGTGGTAGATTCTTTAGTGAACATATTGTTAGTGGAGGAAAAATAGACTGACTTCCAAGAATCGACTTGTGCTTCTGAATGTTTCCTGTGTATGCACAGATTGCTCTGAAGTCTTCGGCACTTCTGGTAGTTTAATTATTTATTTATTTAGAGGACAATCCCCTTAAAACAACCTGGTGTTGGTCAAGGACACAATGGTTATACATCAAGTTTGTGTTAAGAAGTTTCTTGGGACTGCAGTAGTTTAACCATCATGCACATATTGTGAAATCTGATGTTGTCATTGGTTTTTCAACATTAGTTCTACAGATAAATGGCGTAATTAGATTAATGGTGAGGTAAATGTTAAAGTAATGTATTTATTATTTTGTTGTATTGTTTGCATCATCAATGGGTAACAACCATTCATATGTAAGAAAAGCATAATGCTTTGTAATTATAAGCCCTTTGAGCGCCAAGAAAAGCGCCATTTAAATGTAATGGATTATTATTATTATTAAACTTAACAGTAAGAACAAACTAATTTGCAGCCATAACAGTTATATGGGTGGCTGTGTAGTAGATCCAATAAAGACGAGACGCGTGACGCAGAAAAAAATCTACACTTTTAATAAACACCAAGATATCAATGTAAACGGTGTTAGTGAGGCCAGCAGGGGGCGCTCACCCTGTGGTCTGTGTGAGTTCTAACGCCCCAATATAGTGACGGGGACACTATTCTGTCAAAAGAGCACGGATGAGACGTTAAACCGAGGTCCTGACTCTGTGGTCACAAAAAATACCAGGATCTCTTTCAAAAGAGTAGGGGTGTAATCCCAAGTGCCTCTGCCCATCATGGCCTCCTAATCATCCCCATATATACACTCACCTAAAGGATTTTGGCACTAAGGGGCCTAAAGTGTGCCAAAAAAACATGCCCCACAGCATTACACCACCACCACCACCAGCCTGCACAGTGGTAACAAGACATGATGGATCCATGTTCTCATTCTGTTTACACCAAATTCTGACTCTACCATCTGAATGTCTCAACAGAAATCGAGACTCATCAGACCAACATTTTTCCAGTCTTTTTTCCACCTCAAGGTTGTGCGTGTTGTGGCTTCACAAATGCTTTGCATACCTCGGTTGTAACGAGTGGTTATTTCAGTCAAAGTTGCTCTTCAATGAGCTTGAATCAGTCGGCCCATTCTCCTCTGACCTCTAGCATCAACAAAACATTTTCGTCCACAGGCCTGCCGCATACTGGATGTTTCTCCCTTTTCACACTATTACTTGTAAACCCTAGAAATGGTTGTATGCGAAAATCCCAGTAATTGAGCAGATTGGGAAATATTCAGACAGGCCCGTCTGGCACCAACAAACATGCCACGCTCAAAATTGCTTAAATCACCTTTTAATCACTGTTTAACTGCTGCGCTCTGTTACCAGTAGGCGTGGTCTCCTAGGGCAGTGAAGCAAGTGCATTCTGGGAGTTGTTGTCTTTCATCCACATAAGTCAAAAATACATTTTCTGGCTTTTCACGGTCTAGAAAGCTCCAAATTCAAAAATAATTTCACATTTATTCTACATTTATGACCCATTCATCTTTCCAGAGGTGAAGTATCCCTTTAAGTACTACTGTACACTAAAAGCTCTTTATTGTACAATAAAACTACTATGGCAATGTATTTATAATATGTGCTTGTGTAGTTTTTTCTAAAAAAAAAAACTTGTGAATTCACCAAGTCACAGAAAGCAATTTTAGTATTTTTTTTTTTTTTGCGAGACCAGGTTGGTTCAGACAGGCCAGATTTCAGACATTAACATAAACATTAAAAGATAATATTTTCAAACAAACAAACAAAAAAAAAAACAAACAAGAAAAACAAACTTTAATCCAAGTGCTAAAGTCTGTGCTCCAACTTGTGTGCAGTGACTGGGTCATTAACCCAAGTCATTCACTGCATCTGAAAGCCTATTACACAAATGTTATTTACCATAACATATCACTGTCTCAATGATAAGCTATGTGCAGTGTTGACATCCCAATTGGTTCATCATCCCATAAGTGCCACTGTATCCTGTCCCTGGACTTTGGATGACCACAGTCAATGTATTTACTTTCAAACAAAACCTATTTATTGAAGGATTGTTTGACTAGACCAAAGTAAAATGTTCTGTGTGCTCAAAGGTGAATAATCTTGACACAAGCCCAATGGTTTTCCAATAATGACTTGGCACAGACATCTACAGTTTAAAGGCCCATTTGTGCCTTGAAATGTGCATCAGTTCACTGTAATTTCCACTGAAACAGGAAGACAGGGTGGGACATATCAAGCAGCTCCTCCCCCTTTTTAAAACAGCCAATAGCATTTTACTTATATCACAGCTCGGTATGCTCAGCTTATGACAGCCAGGGTCTAATAGATTCCCACTTTAGATTTAATATGAAACTATTGCTAAAGCAAAACAGTGATCATAATCTGCATGGATGCATAGTTTGAAAAGTGTAGTTTGTGTAGATGTGTGGTTCTAAAATTTATGTTGTGCATGTTATCTTTTTCACTATCTTTTTCATCTAACAATTTCTCCTCCTAATCTCCTTCATATAGCTTCAAAATATAGCATTCTGTGTAGAATTCAAATGGATCCGATATGTTTTGTGGTCTGCACCGACTCACGCATATGATCCTCTCTGTCCTATCGTGACTCTGGACTGGAGCTAACTGTGTGCACGCTGTGGCGGTTTGCGTGACACTAAAGCGAAACCAGACTTCATTCACCCCAATGAAAAGCATATTTACACCATGTGAATTTTCCTATCCCCTATATAGTGCTCTACGTGCCATTCACCATGTAAAAAAATAGCAATAGTGTGAACAATTGACCGATTTCAGCCGCAGCTTCAACGTCTATTTATAGTGCAGGGGCAGGATGCTTCAGATTCTAGAAAGTGTGATGTCATCAAGTCAGAGTGATGTCATCAAAATTGTTGATCCATTACTGCGGGAGTGAGAGTCTGAGTTTTGAATGCTTATATCTTCTGAATGAGAATTTTGTTTTCATTCAGTTTTAGGGCACACTAGCTCATAGATAACCTTAAGGCTAAAATATTCATACTAGCCAAAATAATTTGAATTTGATTTCATGGGGACTTTAATTCTTTGACTGATGAATGCCCTATTACAACATTTTACCAGGTAATATATATATATATATATGTTACCTGATAAAATGTTGTAATAGGGCAAACAAATTTTGCATTATTTGTTTATTTTATTTATTTTCTTGTAAATTAAAAATGTAAGATATCATTAAAAAAGTATACAACTAACGACAAATTATTATACAAATAATTAATAATTATTTGTATAATAATTTGTCGTTAATTGTATACTTTTTTAATGATTTCTTACATTTTTAATTTACAAGAAAATAAAGCAAAAAATAAATCAAATAAACAAATAATGCAAAATAACAATCCATGAAGCATTTAGCAAATGCTGCAGTAAGCACAGCTGACAAAGCAGGCAAAGACCTTCATCTGATGCATATTTACATAGGCTAACAGTGTAGACGGAATCATTCTACCTTGTATATAGACTGACCAACTTGATTGCAAATCATTCAGACTGCTGTGTTAAAGTGAAATAAATAACACATTTTTGAGGTTGTGAAGTACCTTGAGCAAACAGCTCGGATCCTCGTGCGGACACCAGTCCAGTCCCACACAGCAAGCCCAGGTACAGCAGACTGAGAGAGAGAGAGTAAGCCATAACTTCTGCTGTCTCCCTGTGCGGTAAAATAAGAAAAGAAAAATCATTATTAGTGCGTGGTCCTCCCGGATGACACCCCTCTGACAAATACTTAGCTGAAACCCCTATAGAGCCCCGGGGCCATCTCCTCAGCATCTCCAATTAATTTCCCTACTCTGTCACACCAAAGCGCACTGGCTTTTACCACCATTAATACTTAGCTGGTCTGTGTGAAACCCTATATGAGGAAACCAGACAATTAACAACCAGATGCAACCTCTGCAACAACCAGCACTTCCAGCCATACGTGGGTTTATCGTTATCTGTGGGTTACATAGGGTCTTTAAAGCATGCAGGCGTTTGCGGGGGATGTTTTCACAAGCTAATACTCCACATTTACCGTGTTAAACAAGAATTTGCATTATATAGGGGCAGGGCAACAGAAAACGTTTCAAAATGTCAAAAGTTCATGCTATCGCCGCTAAAGGTCCTGGTGAAACATTATCTTATATGGAATGAAGCAAAAAGAATTTAAACCAGCTTCAACTTATATTAGTGCTAGATGTGTGACAGAAATACTGTTGACAAGTTGCCATCATTCATTTTGTGATTTAGGTATATGTGGGGGTGCTTTGTGATTTGCACTTTGTACTTTGCACTTTGTACTTGGCCGATTCTGTCAATGTTCCTTCGCCCTCATCACATTTGGCACTTATTACAGTATAATTCAATAAAAGAGATAAAGGTTTGTCTGAAATGGTGATGACATGGTGACATAGTGACAAATTACTGTCACAAGCATATAAGGGGGAACAGGTTCTATCCAGCTAGCCCAAGAGTTAGGCTAAAAATAAGTACACTATATTTGTTTGGTCACCAAAAAAAAAAAAAAAAAAAAAAAATCATAGAGAAGTCAGTGGCCCTTTGGGACTGGTGATTCTGATCTTAAAAGTCCAACTAAACATTATATAGAAAGCCTTATAAATAGAGAAAACACTAGTGATGGGGTTTAAATGTGTCAAATAAATGATATTAAATGCAATCGAGTGAACAATAAATAAATAAATACAATTGGCCAACAAACGTTGTTTAGACTTGCCGACCCCCTGATGTTTCTGAACCCGATCTGATTAATGGTGAGTTCTGGCCTAAAACTTGGGTTCAGAGCTATTTTTATTATGCACTTGGCAGTGGATTGTTGAAAACAGCACCAGGCTATAATTTCCAAATGTGGAAAAATACACAGTCAGCAAATAACTGGCTTTGTTGCATTTGACCTACTGTATAGCTTCACCCCATCATCTAACAATGCTAGAATAACAACATGCAGGTTACTTCTATAATTTGTATTCACATTCACAAAGCTGCATAAAATAAAAGCTAGTTAAACTCGTTGAAAAGGCTTAAGATATATTAAAGCCACATATTATACAAACTTATGTGTATGTGCTTTGGTCACATGTCTGGTGCATACAGACTCAACAAACTCGCCACAAAAACACTTGATCCTCTCTATCCTACTCAGAGAGACGGCCCTTCTCTACTCAGTCAGGTAGTAATGAGGCCCCATTCCTCACAGGAACGCTGCTATCATACAGTGAAAGGTGTGACGCCCAGTTTGACGGCTGGTCCAATGCTTATTAGCTGGTCTATGTGACTATATACAACATTAAACCATATAACCAAACTATTATTATGTCTAATTATGAAATAGGTAAATTAATAGAAAAAATAATGTGCAAGGATAAATCATTAATAAACACTGCAATATTCCATAAAAAATGAAAATCGCCAATTTTGACAACATTTTCCATGTTTTTTCCAATTCATACTGTATTGTGAAATTTTATTACTATTTGAAATAACATGTAAAATAATCATGTGATTGAAAAGCTGAATTTTTCAGTATCTTTACTCCACATGATCCTTCAGAAATCATTCTAATATGCTGATTTGATGCTCAAGAAAATTATATTGTTTTTACTATTACAGCTATCAAGATTAAACGAACAGTGAGACATTTTAAAAAGGTAATTTTTAGATCTATTCCCATCACATAAAATGTTGTTGTGATGAGCATTGAGCAAGCAGAGGACAGTCTGTCGATCGCGAGAATGAAGATCTTATCATTTCAACGCAGTTTCTGCTCTCTCTAATGCTTTCATCAATGCAAACACGATGATGTACAGTAAGAGCTTCGTTGTGCAGTGTAACATGCATCATTGATTGAGTTGTTCAGATAAACTCGCGCTGTGTGTAAAGATTGTTCTTTGATCGCTTTCTGTAAAACTTGTTCACAATTTAAATAAGATTATTTTCATCCGACTAAAAGAAACGATGTGAAGTTGATATTTTAGTCACTGGCTTGACTTACTGTATTGAATGATTTTGACAGAATCAGAAATTGTTGCTTGGTTCAATTTATTTTCAGAAGTTCATCGAGTTGAGGAAACAGTCGTCGGTGAAATGTTTGGAACATACAAAACTTTGGGAAGTTGTGTTGGCACATTTCCAGAGAAAATAAAATTAACCCATTGTTTCTTCAGAGGCTCGGATGAAGGAACTAAAAAATACTTTTGTGTTCACTTGTACATCCGAACACTGATCAACTGCCATGCTTCGCTCGTTTGCAAGCCATGATATCTCTCGAGGAAAAACTCAAATCTCAAAGCTATTTCTCTAGGAAATACTCAAATCGCATTAGTACTTTCTAGCTCATTTTCTCATGGGCGAGCCAAATTCTCCGGGCGGGCAAAGCAGAGAAAGGGGAGGTAACCTTTCCTTGTTATGACGTAATAACGAGGAGATTCAAGATCGGCGCGTCTGAGCTGCAGAGAAGAGAAAAATAGCCAAAGCTCGGTTTACACTGATTGAAAATCCTAGACACGAGGGGACCAAATACAGGCTAGAGGAACTAAAATTAATGTTAAAAAACCTCAGAAAGTGAAAATTTCATGTCAGGGGACCTTTAAGGTCTCTACAGTCACATTTGATGTAGTTTAATAGAATTAGTATCTTTTAAAAAAATCTTACAGTATTAGTTTCTTTAAAAAATCCTACTGAATCCAAACATTATTATATTATATTATATTATATTGCATTTCCGCCATGTGGAGTGCTTGTATTTACTGCGAGGGCCAGTAGGATCCGACCCCATGAGGGAGTTAAAGGGGCACGGCAGTCTGCACAGAGGGCCTGATTGTCTGGATAGCCATGAGAGGGTGGAGGGTGGAACCTCCCTTGAATCTGATTGGCTGAATGAATTTCCCGCTGTTTGAGTGTTTCACAGATTGCTCCAGCACTGCATGCATATTAGGCAATGCTTCTCACCATTTAACCTCCAAAATATCTCTACTGTTGATAACATGACCCATCTTGGACAACATTTACATTTTTGTCATTTGAGGGCCATGTCTTGTTACTAACTTGTTACAAACAAATGTTACTGTAATGTTTCTCTTTTAAATCCCTCATTATATATGTATATATATATATGGATAGCGCTGCACGGTAGGTTGTGAAAATAAACAGGTCTGTTTTGCATCAGTCGGAATGTGCGGTTGAGTGGATGACAGCCCACAGTTTGTTTCCGATTTATTTGCTGCTTGAAGCATTCAGGGCAAAACCTGATATAAATAAGACTTTTTTTTCTATCATTGTTCTGTCAGAATTTTAATGATTGGCTGCTACAACCTTAATAAATGGATCTGGTGCTGGGTTGCATTTCTGCTTAAATGGATGACCTTTTGAGCCCGAGAAAAGTCAGAAAGCACAATTTTCACATCTTTACAATTCTGGGCACATTTGCAAACAGAAAATTTCTGAACTCTGACTTTTTATTTATATCTTTTTTTTAACACTGTAAGGTCTAGAGCTCAGGCTAACAAGCAAATGAGTATCATTCCTGTTTGGCCAAAATCCAAGACTGAATTAATAACATCCAAAATTAGTACTGACATGTAGTTTACCATTCCAAACCTGTTGATCTCTGTACTAATGAAATGTCCAGAGTCACTGAGGCATACTCTTGTTATGATGGTCCACTCCAAACAGGAAGTAATACCAAATCTGAGTGTGGTGATTTACTTAGTCGTAAAATTGCTTTTAATGGTACCTATTTAGCAACTTTATATCAGCAACCATACAATCAAGCAGAGATTAAATCTATGTGCACTTAGACTAAAACCACTACCTTCCAGTTCTTATGAGCTCAAACCTGCTGCCAGCATGATGTAAAACAAACATATGGACATCACCTTTAGCAAACTGTGCTGAAACTAATGGATTGATGATTTGAATCCATTACTATGAGTGTTGTTACGTAATCATACTATATACGGTACATACACCATATTATACAAGTCACTTTTCTAATAAAAGTAGCACACATTTATGTACTTCGTTTAGTTGCAAATAAAAATAGAAAAACTCTGCCTTTCTATGTAGGGAAAAATCTGGATGTGTTTAAGTGTATGTAAAATACATATTTCTTTGTCAAAAATGTAATCATTTGGGTTGTGATATATTTGTTTGGAGACTTCCATCAATGTGTTTCTCATGGAAGCTTGTTTTTGCCACAGAATAAAAAATAAAAAAGGCAATTGCGACTTTTTAATCGCACAATTATGACTTTCTATCTCAGAATTGCGTGATATAAAGTCACAACTGCTAGTTATAAAGTCCGATGTAAAGTCTCAATTGTGTTACAAAGTCAGACTTTGATTTCTCCGAATTGCGAGTTTTTACGTTTATATGTGAGATATAAGCTATAGCAAAACAGAGGAAAAAAAAACTTTGGGGCTTTAAAACTTGCAACTGGAAGAAAAATGTCTGAATTGCGAGTTTATTACTTGCAAATACGAGTTTGTGTTTCATTCGGTGGCGGAAACAATTTTCCATAGTTTTCTGTGTAAATGTAAAAGTCCTCCTTCCGATACTATCAGCTACAGCTGATTTAGAAAAAATGGCAAATATGTAGATATACTATATTTAGCTTGTTGGCTAGTCTTAAGATGTTTATAATAAATCCCATTCACA